CAAATTGATAAATCCCCTCTGGTAAATCCCCTTTGAACATAGTGCAGAGATAGGAATAGCCTTGTGATCTGACAGAGAGCATTGTGAAGTCAATTTTGGAATATGTAGTTAGATTAAAATGTAATACTTTATTATTTGATCTCTCTTTTAACCCATTTTAAAGCTGTTTAAATTTGTAATATTTTCTGCTTTCTTTTCTGTGGGGGTTTTTCTGTTTTGTCTAGTCATTGTTGTTGAATTTCATTTGTTTATTTGTTTGCTGGCCACCTCAGGGTGTTCTGTATGAGTTTCTGTATCTAAAATCCAGCATAGGAATATTTATAAAGATAATCACTGGATTGATAATCATTTAGGGGCATGGAAGGTGAGGTTGGGGAAAATGGGGAGCTAACAATGATTATGAGAAGAAAATGTTCTGAAATTCATTTTGGTGATGATTGCATAACTCTTCTTAATAAAATTGAGTGACTGCATTGTATGATATCTGAAGTGTATGTCAATAAAGACACTTTTTTAAGTGTTCAGTTGGAAATATTATATTGAGCACATCTCCCCTTGGGTCTTTATAAGTAATGTTAAATGTTTTTTCTTCACCCAGTTTATCCACCATCAGAAGTGTAATTACCTTCTCTGAGACAAATATGCACGCACACACACACCCCTTGACTTGAATTTGCAGCGAGGTTTGCTAATCCCTTAGGAGTGAGTGTCTTCTATTTGGTGGTGACTGGGAAATCTTTTATGCAGCAGGGATTTATTGGTCTTCTCCCTCTCCCCCAATCCTGAGAAACTGACACCAGCCGAGGTGAGGCCTCCTTTCTGGGAGTGCTTTCTCTTGTTGCTTGAGAGACTGGACTAGAAGATTACATGACCTGAGAAGAGAAGCCTGCTTTTGTCTTAGTGTTTATCCCTATTTTCGTGAGCTCCTACAATCTTTGTCCTTTTGTGAATGACCATCTTCACTCAGCATAGTGGTTTCCAGGTCATAACGTGTGTCATGGTTTTGTTACTGTGTTTTAAAGATGCATAGTGTTCAGTGTGTGTGTGTGTGTGTGTGTGTGTGTATCAGTTTCTTTTTCCAGTCTTCTGATGGACGTTTGAACTGCTTCCAGCTTCTTACTGTTGTGAACTGTGCTTCAGTGAACACCAGACAGAATACATCTGTTTTGTTTTGGGTTTTTTTCTGTCATTTTTATACTCATTTCTGTCCCTTATTATATGCCCAGCAGAGGGATTGCTGAAATTTCTATTCCCCATTGTCTTAGGTAGCACCATATCGCTCGCCACCACTGTTTACAGCCCCACCAGCAGTCCATGAGTTCCAATTTCTCTGAATCCCTCTAGCACTTGTTTTTCTCTTTCTAAGTGGGCTATCCTTGTGATATCACACCTTCTCATGATTTGCATCTCATCTCCCAGCTGACCTTTCTTTTCACAGGACTGTGAGCATTTTTTCATGTTTGTTAGCCATTTGTGTGTCGTTTTGGGTTAGCTGTCTGTTCATGCCCCTTGTTATTTTCATGCTCCCATTGCTGTTTTATGACATGTATTAGTTTGGCAGGCATCTTCTGCATTTGCAAATGAGTGTTATTGAAAGTTTTGCCTTATCCCCAATCTCACCATTTGTGTAAATAGTGCCCAGTCACTTAAGCTTTTAGTCTGTGCAAGTCAAAAAGGTAACCTGTGTATAATTGTATCATTTCCTTTTCTCAACAGTGTTTTAAATTCTATACAGTTGGCTAAAGTAATGATAATATCAATAGAATTACTGTATGCCCCATTGGGAAGATTTATAAAATGTTCTACAATAAAGGGATAATGACGTCTTTAAAATCAACATATATAAACTACAGAGACCTGCGTGGACTTCGGCTCACACTTCATCGTAGCCCTAATCCAGGAACAATGAGTTCTTATGACACAGCCCTATTCAAAACTTGCCCTCCTGTGAGAGTCGTGCAGATATGGGTGCGAGAGCAACGTGTGGTAAATAAATCACACGATACCTAACTAGCAGAAAGAATAACCACTGGGGTCCTTAAGGTTTGTCTTAAAACAACCAGCCATGTAAGTTATATGTCAACTAAGTCTGCATGGAAGAAGCACATCAGGCAGTGTGATCCAAGGATTATAAATAATAAAATCAAACTCTTGAGGAACTAATGGTCTCAGAGCTCAAATATTGAACACCCTGTTTTCAGAAAGCTATAAATAACTGGGGAAGCCCCAAAGCCATTTGTAGTGCCCCATATGGATTAAGCTTCTGGTGCATACCCTCTGACCAGAGTCCAGGGATGCCTATGGTCTTGCCACCAGACAGAGAACATTGTAAAGTCTCTATGGCAGATACAGTTAAGTTAAAATGTAATGCTTGATCATTTGGTCTCCCTTTTACCCATTTTAAATTAGTTCCAGTTTTTAGTATTTTCCGCTTTCTTTGTTCCCCAACATTTCTATTGGCATATGATTCACATAGCACACAAATCAGTAGTTCAACCACATCAAGAAAAGGGTTGTATAATCATCACAATATCTTTTAGAACATTTGATTCATTCTTATTCCCAACAATATTAGCTCCCATTTGCCCCTAAATTCCCCTGCCATGCCCCCAAAGAACCATTAATCCAGTTACTGTTTCTGAATGTTTACCTATCCTGGATTTCATAACCAGAAAAAGATAAAAATCAAAACCAAAAGACTAACAACAATAACAAATTAAACAGATAAAAAAACCTCGATCAAAAAGAAAGCAGAAAATATTAAAAGCTAGAACAGATTTAAAATGTATCAAAAGGGAGATCCAAGGATGAGGTGTCCCTTTGTACCCTAACTGCATCCGCCATCACCACTTTCCCATACGCTGTGCTCGATAGCAAGGCTGTACACATCCCTGATCCACGGTCAGAGAGGGTTCGAGGCTTAAGTCACTTGTATTCCTTCATCACTTTTTTTTTTTAACTGAAACAACTGTAAAATGGGTCAGAAGGGATATCAAATGATACATTATTGCACTTTAACTTCACTGCAGCTACCATAACTGACTTCACAATGCTCTCTGTGGGATGACAGGCTATGCACATCCCTCGACTGTGGTCAGAGGGAATTCTCAGGAGGCATAATCCACATGTGGACAGACCCTGCCAATGGGCCTGGGGTGCTACTTTCATCGGTAGCCTTCCACAGAACAGGTGTTCACAATTTTCTGCTTTCTTTTCCATTGAGATTTTCCTGCTTTATTTTGCCATTGTTGTTAGCGCTTTCTGTTTCTTGATTTTGTTTGTACATTTTTTCTGACTGTGAGATCCAGGGCCGGTAAATCTATAGAGAAAGTAACTGGATAACTACCTGAGGATATGGCAGGGGAGGTTGGGGGGAAATGGGGAACCAAAACAATTACTACAAGAAAGAAGAAATTGTTCTAAAATGGATTGTGGTGACTGATTGCACAACTCTTCTTAGAATGATTGAACTATTGTATTGTATGATGTGTGAATTACATGCCAATTAAAAATCCAAAAACCAACAGAAACTAGCAGAACCGAATGCTTCTCTTCAAGGCCCAGCACTGAGTGGGTGGGAGAAAGGAAACGTAAAAGGTCCGTTCCTTCAAAAGGTAATTAAGTTCTACAGTAACTGAAGCAAGTTGGATCCGAGTGATCGGGGATGAGGATCTCTCAAATCAAGGCTGGAGTTAAAAAGAGAAAAGGGCGAAAAAAATCATCAATGTATTCTCAACTGTCATAGATCCTTCCTTCGAGAACAAAGATTCCATAGACAAGAATGAGGTTCTGATTTTTACCATATGTGTACTGTCATCTACATTACATTATCCTGTTCATTGTCGGGAAAGCTGGGACTTTCTACTCGTGTAAAGAGTTACAGCCTCAGGAACCCATGATAGTTCTTCTCTGTCCTATAAGTCGGCATCAGCTCGATGGCAGCGAGCTTGGTTTTTCATTGGGCTAATTGTATAACGGCATATTCCCTATTTTTCTATCGCACTGCTAGTTTTTCCTGAATTTAAAGCTCTTCCTGCAGTAAGAATACAATCATTTGACTGAAAATTTTGTAAATTTCCCATTTGTCATGTACATTTTAATTGTTTACATTGTCTTTCACATGTAAAATGTTTGTCCATATGTATCTATCTTTTCTTGTACAAACCATCTTCTATGATTGTTTTTCTACATAGAATATCCTTCCCTATTTAAATTGATTAGATACGTATTTTCCCACTTAGATACATGAGGGGGCTTCAAAAGTTTGCAGAAAAAATCCCATTATTTTTCCATGAACATTTTGAAGCCACCTTGTGTACTTGTTGTTTGTTGTTGCTGCTTGAAGTCAAACTGACTCCCACTCACGGTGACCCTGGTGTGCAGAGGACACTACCCCATAGGGTTGTGAAGGCTGTGATTTTTCGGAAGGGCATCCCTAAGCAAGTCATCCCGGGGTGGGTTTAAGCTGCCAGCCTTTGGGCTGGTAGTTGAGCATCTAATCATTTGTACCCTCCAGGCCCCCTCAGGAGATATAGTTTTGTCTAGCTTTCTTACAGTTTCTTTCTTTTCCTTTTTTTTTTTTAAAAAATGTACATTTCACTCTTTGACCTATTTAGAATTTATTTCGGAGTCTGGTGTAAGATCAACCTCTAGCTAGAATTTTTATAGAATGGCCTATTTTTCTAATACCATCTCTGGGCTTTTAAAGAAATCTTCTCAGAGGCAATTGTATTAAAATAGTCAACATCCAAAGTCATAGCTCGCTGATGACCATGAACTGTGCTTCTTCCTCGCAGGTGAACAAGAGCCGGCTGTAAGCAGTGATTCTGACATCTCCCTGATTATGGCTATGGAAGTTGGACTGTCTGATGTAGAACTTTCCACCGACCAGGACTGCGAAGAAGTGAAATCTTGAACTGGAAAATACAGACAAGGGGGGTGGTATGACCCAGGGAGAAAACGGGGAGAAGTGCTCCAAGACTTGGACCAGCACACGCAGCTCCCCAACACCTGGCAACCCCAGGGTGCTCCGTTCAAGAATGGTCGGAAAAGCAATATCCAAAGTCGCACTAATTACGTTGCAGTTCCTCTAGCTCTACAACAGTCGATGGCCTTGGCAGCTTGCAGGATGAAAGCGGATTGTCCCTACCGTGTCCTTGTAGACCCTCACCTCTAGAAGCTTCTGGAACAGTGACTGCGAAGGCACCAGCAGGGTTTCTTTGTTTCATGTCATCTCCCCATCCCCCCACCCCCCACTGTCTTATTGTCCTTGGTTTTTGAATGTTGTTTGATTTCTTTGGCAATTCCTTTTTAAAGACTGTTTGTAGTTACTTCACCCCCACGCCTTTGTGGTTGTTTATTTGTTTATGCTGTTGTTGTTTCATAGTTCCTGCTATCACTTTGTATTGCATCCTTCGGCCAGAAGACCGTATCCCTCCGCGGGAAGTGTGCAGGGCTTTGGGAAGGGCCTCAGCGCCCAGAAACAATCTAAAGCCAGCTGTCTTTCATGACGAATCCAAATGATTTTAAGTGGGTCTTGGAAATCCCAGCTGTCAGAGACTCCAACACTTGCCTCTGAATCAGCTGAGATGAGACCATTACTCATGATTGTAAACTGCATCACATTGGCTTCCACTTGCCAAGCTCCCTAAGGATTCCACATGAGGAGAGAGGGGAGCTCCCAGGGGAAGCACTTCAACTCATCTGGGTCTTACAGTTGTAGACTGGAATTCTGAACTCGGAAGCCCCTTCCAGGGCATTTTAATGCCCTCCTGCATGACTGTAGAGCTGGTAGCTGGGTTGACAAGCCTAGTTTCGAAACCACCACCCATCACCGTCCAGTAAGTCCCCATTCTTGGTGATCTTGTCTGTGTCTGTGAACAGCTGCTCCGCGGGGTCTCCGATGGCTGATTGGTCAGCTGTAGATTGCCACGCCTTCCTTCTGAGATGTTTCTGGGTAAACTAAAAGCCCCAGCCTTTCAGTTATAAGCCAAGGGGATTGGCAGTTTGCACCACGCAGGAAATTCTTTAGAAGGAGCCATCGCAGATTCTTCCTATGGAAAACAAAGGGTCGGTCCCCAGGCTAGACTCTATCTCTGCCATCAGTGAGTTTTGCAGGAGATGGAATATTTTTCGAAGATCCTTGGGCTCATTGGCAAACACAATGGTGGCTGCCATTCCAAGTGGCCTTCACCTTCATGCTAGCATACACCTGTAAACTTCATCACATGGACAGATTTAGGGGGATCCTTAGCTGATACCTATTCAGAGCTCTCAAAGTACGTATGTCTGCTGAGCAATGAGGTGTGATTTGTACAGATCGTCAGACCCCAAAAGTCTACCATCCAGTTGATCCTGAGAGAGACCATGTCAGGGAGAACAGAAGAAGCATGAAACGTATACAAAAGCCTACCAATGTTTTTAAACTGTTTCTGTTTGTACTCTTTTTTTTTTTCTAACGATGACAAAGATGGGCTATTTTTTCAGTGGGTGATTTTGTAATACATTCAGACTCCCCCAGGGTGGGGCTGGGTTTGCGCGGCCTTGTCAAGGTGGCGCAAGTGCCTCTGGACAACCTAGAATGACCTCCTCGTCATCAGCAAGAACTTGGCAAAGGGCAGGCGCTGCTTTGGGTTGTGACAATAAGCATGCCCTCCTCACCAAGTCCTATTTACATGTTTGTGGGGGATCCTCAGCAGCATCGTTCCACTTACACGCATCCACAGGCACAGCTGGTTCTGCTGGAAACCCAGCAGGCTTCTGAAACACGGTGAAGGAAGAGGACCCAGGCATGGTCTTTTTCATGCCCTTTTAGCATTTCCTGTTTGTTGGCTTATAAGCAGCATGACTACCCACTTCACAAATGACGCTTCTCTGAGGTCGTAGAACGTCCCATCGTGAATCCATTTCTCCTGGTAGTAAGGGAGGGAGGGAGAGAGGGAGGGAGAAAGAGAGCTCTGAACCAGCAGGCAGCAGAGCCACAGTCAGTGTTGGCTCCAGACCCAGTTTCTTTATTAAAGGGAAGGACTTTCACGGGCTCCCCAGGCCCTCTCTGGACTGAGGACCTCTGACCAGCCTGATGTTAGACACCCTTTGGATGTTCGGCAGATAATGATGGCATTAGCCAAATGTATGGGTTGGGAGACAGTGACATCACATGTAACATACAAGAACAGCCTTTGAGATTTGGTCCCGCTGTGATGTTGAGAAGGAAGAGCTAAAGGATTGAAGTGTTAAGTCTGAGAAGGCATTGTTTGTCTTGCTTTGGTTTCAAACTGCTAGAGTCACAGAGCTTTCAATCTCTGGGTGATGGATTCCTTCAGTTCGTGTTGATTGCTGGGGAGAATGGCTGTGGAACTATATTCTTTTCTCTCAACGGTGGGGTTTTTTTCCTCAGTCAGCAGAGGGCTATCGGCCTAGCCCTCTTAAGTCAGCTTTGCCTTCAACAGACATTGGCATTGTCTTAGCTCAAGTAAAATTGGAAGATTGAGTCAACAGCAAACAAATTAAGAGGTTGCATTGCATATGCCCTGAAAGAGAAGACTTTGGGGGCTATATAGTTCTCTGATCAAAGTCATCTCTTTCTGCCAGTGGCCTGGGAAAACAGGAATTGAGTCCAGATGTGGGCCTTGGCCACCACAGCCCTCACAGGATGCCGCAGAGGTGGTGAGGGGTCAAAGTGGCCGGCCGAAGCCGATGGCTCTGGTCCCAGGGAGCTTCTGCTGCAAGCACCCAAAGCCTAGGAGATGGCACATTTGCCAAAGGTTTATTTCGGGAAGACTTCCATGTGGCTCTGGTAGTTACAAAGAAGTCTAAGCAGCATCGAAGGATTCAAAAGCAAGGGAAAGAGCTCAGCCCCATAGCCTTCTTCTCACACCCCTCCCCCTAGAAAAGAGATCGTTCCCTGGGGACTCAGTGGTTGGTTCACTGATGAGTGAGTGTCAAACCATCTGATGATCCTATTTGTAAGTGGATACAAATCACATGTAGATTTGCATTTTTCTGTAAGAATTGTCTAGACCACTGCTGTCCATAGAAATTTAATGCTGGTCATTTCATTTTTTTCCACTAGCAGCATATAATAAAGCTAAAAAAAAAGAGCGAGAAAATCATTTCAATAATATATTATCATCAACATGTAATTAATATAAAAATGTTAGTGAAAAATTTTATCTCCTTTTTTAAAAAATATACTCTTAGAAATCCATTCCGTACTTGGGCTTTGTAGCATGTCTCGATTCAGACTACCCAGACAAGCATGCACTTGCCAGATGTCGCTCCTGGCTACCCATTGGACAGCATAGGTCTAGCAGGTCTTCAGTTTCCCACCAGATCCCCTGACCCATACCTAAGAAAAGTAGTTACAACCTTACTTACCTCCAGAAAGAACTACATACCACCCAAGTCACCTATGAGAGGTCCAGATGCATGTATTTTGTTCTGTATTCGGACAGCCCTGCTTGACATTTCTCCTGGAACTTTCGAGCCCCACCCCTGATGTCCATAGCCACTTATTATTATCAAGCTGGCCAGCCGTCATTGTTGTTTAAAGTCACACAAGCCATATTGGTGTGATGCTGAAACCAAAGCATACTCTTCCCTTCAACGACAAGAGTTTAACCTAACATGTGACACTTCGAATTCCAGATCATAGCCCCCAACTTAACCCTGAGCCCAGGTTCTTCTTGCCAATAAGGCCTTCCACTCAGCTCCATAACTGTCACTCAAACTCACGATTTTGGAAGGAAAGGGTGGGCAAGTACATATTGAGTCCAAATATAGGATCTTGTGTGACCTTACTGTCAAAGAATCTTTGGGACTTGTGACCATCCAGCCTCTCCTTGGTGACTTGTGACCTCCTCTGCCAGCCAGCCCTTGACTCTGAAGGCAGCCCGTGGCCATGAGAAAGTAAAGGAGCATTTCCAACTCACTCAGAATAATTCAGGGTCACCCCCTGTGTGCCCCGTGCCTTTGGGAAGCACTGAGCCTGCATGGTAGATGGCACATCGAATACTGATTTCTTCTCTTGGGTGTGATCACACTGATGTCTACCCCGGTTGTTCATCTAGTCGGGCCAAGGTAGAGTTAAAATGTAAAAAGTTAAAACCAAGGAAGACACTATATTAGACTGCATTTTCTAGAGAAACCAAACCAGTGATGTCCATATATGTATAACAGAACGTTATATCAAGAAAGAGGCACAGCCCTGTCCAACTTAAGTCCATGGGTCAGATGCTAGCGGGAGACTCTCAGACCCCCACAGCTTCCAGGAGTTGAAGCAGGAAGACAGAGCAGCAAGCTGAGGGGTCACAGGCCAGTGGGTGCAGGAACACGCCAGAGCACTGAGAGCCCCCGGGTTGGCAGCCCGAGCTAGACACACACTCCAGGCAAAAAGGAAGGTGAAGAGGGACAAGAGAGAGGAACTCTTCAGGTCTCTCTTATAGAAAGGCCACACCCTCTACGAGGCTTCATCAGGCTGTGACCTGATTGATAGGCTGAACTCTGCTGAACTCGACCCCTACTTTCACACAGGTGCAAGTTGACATAAAGCCTCCCGATCACAGGTTCCTATCTAAATTCTCATCATATAGTAATCATCACAGCCATGGTGGTGAAATTCTATCCAAAAAATTTATGTCTTTCAGTGTGCCCATATTCTAGGGGAAATATCCTTGGTTATGCTGCGGTTGGTCATTTTGGTAATCACAGTACTCAGTGGTCATCTCGGTACTGCTCTAGCTCCCCTACGGCCACATGCTTTCCAAAGCAAACATAGTGAAAGATAGCATACTAGCTTTCTTATACATATTTAGAATTTTGTATGGAGATTCTTACAGAACATGCAAATTTAGTGGCATTTAATTCTATGTTGATTGTAGCACCATTGGAAGCAGTAAAGTCTCATTAAATCAGAACTTCTTCAGAGAATCTGGGATCAAGGGGCACAGCTCGATGGAGGATTGCCCAACCATCTGGAAAATTAGTGCCACTGGCACCTTTTCTGGTAGTGGCTTTAATACTCTATCATTTGGATTGATTTCTCCTTTCCAGTTTTCGGTCCCGCTGTATTGCTGATGCCATCCAGTTGTGTCGCTCCTTGCCTGCCTCTTGTGTTGCTTGTGAACCTACAAACAGTTTTTGTTCAAAGTCCCTCTCCTCCTATCTTTTTCCTTTGTGTCTTTATTCTCTCGTATCACAGGACACTCTCCAGGGACATACTGGACAACAACAACAAAACATGGTTGGCTGCAGATGCGTGGACATATTGTGATCACCATTGTAACTGTGGCAATTTTTTCTCCTTTTGGCTGTGGGGCAATATCTTGGTTTGCATTTTCTGAT